CTTCGAGGTACGTACGGCGGTAGTGTGCATTGTTGGAAAGCGCCCTGACGGGGATGAAGTGCAGGTAGCATATCCGTCGCCGTTTTCGAAGCAATTCCTTTGCTCCGTTCAGCAGTGCTCCAAAGGAAGGTGGTACCATCGGGGAGAAGGTTCGGGATGGCTTCGCCCGATGGTCGATGGCAGAGGGAAGAGCGCGACCTGTTTTACATAAGGGAAGCACAACGAAACACGAGGCAAGCTCTCTTACCATCTGCGATGAGTCGATATAGTATCTGAACCACCGCACTGCCAGGTACTCCAGGGACGTGCTGTACAGAGGAGCCCGCTATAGCTTTCCAATAGACAAAGTAATCAACGCTCGCGAACACTGGCGCGTCTTCTGATAATCCAGCGGGGCCAGCCTCTCAGTCCTCGCGCCCCACTCGTGAATGTCGGCATCGCATCGGGCACTCACAAAGGCAACGCGAGTGCCGACGCGGGCGCCCGCGAAGGATGGCCACGTCGCTCGTTACTCGGCTCCAACCCCACCGCTCAGGGCGCAACGTTTACATGCTTCGCGGGCGGGACTCGCAGTGCTGTAGTACGTAGGTGGAGGCGACGGCGATTACGCGGACGCGAGGGGCGTCACCGCGTATGTCATGCAACACCTGGTGCTGTCCAACCGCATTATAGTGACTCACCATTAACGTTAACTTCACTCAAAGCGCAACAAGGACTGTCATAACGAGAGCGGGAAGGGCACTCGGCGCGAGTAGGAGCCCGGTTCCGGGGCGCAGTACTCCTTACGAAACGGAAGATGGCGGTCGAGAACGCAGACGACGCCCACTGCAGGGCACGCTGTACGGTACTGGTCTGGAACGGGAATGCAGCTGCTGCCTCTAGCAGCCACAAGAATTCTTGAAAGCGCGGGGATTGTCGGAAGCGCGCGCTGCGGAACTTGACAGAGAAACGCTGTCGCCTCCGGGAAGCGCAACGCGCCCCGAAGCCAGGTGGACTATGCGCCTCGAAGACTCTGGGTACGTCGCATGGCAAACTCTCTGCAGCGCGCGCCTCGTTTGTTTGACACCTCGCCGGAGATGAAATAACCTAGAATGGACGTGCCCTCGCTGCCGGTAGATGATCAGAATACAGGTGCGGGTGGTAAAGGGAGAAAACTCAGTACGACCCCAAGCTGCGCGCTGATGGACACCCTAGATCGCGAAACATGATGTTTGCGCATGTTCAAGCTTCACGGGTCGTCGTGCCGTGGGGTGCTTGCAGACATATCGGTGGGAGTACATCATTTGGCTCTGAGAGCGCGGATCAGAAAACAAAGAGCCAATTGGAGGCGAGCGGCAGTCTTGGTAGCCTCGTGCGGCAAACAAGTTCGAAGTCGATATGCTGTGACCCCCAGCGTCACAACGAGAGTTTCGAACATGGAAGAAATCCGAACGCGGGGCGCCTGTGAGCGTACAAGCCTCGCGGGCATTGCCGTTTGCTAACGCCTTGTTTCCTCCGCCCACACAGCGACGGCCGGCACACGCTCGCCGCCTCCCACATTCAAATGTTCATCTGCCGGGCGTGCGCCCCACCATACACATGCACAGCGGCGACAGAGTGGCAGTCGAAGTCCTTCCTTTTTGCACTGCCCAGCCTCGGCCGTGCAGGACGCTTTCTCGCTCTCCGATCTCGGCGCTCACTGCTTCACGTCTAGATGGTATCTAGGAGCACATCTTCACACTACGGAATCTGTGCGGGGCCTGAACAAGATCGTCTAGTTCCCCTCGGAGTCCAGGCGTCCACAACCGGTCATTCCCCCGGTCATACTGCGGTACCACACGCGCGCGAGCGCGGCCTTTGTGGGGCAGCCAAACTCGGTCTCTTGACGGGATCGTTGGAAAGCGCAGGCACCCGCGGTCGCGGCATGAGAACGCATCGGCGTAGAATGCACCCGGTTTACGTCCCAGTCTGGCCAGGCAGACCGGACCTCGAGCATCTACTATGTTGCTCCCTGGTTGGATTCGACCCTTGCACTGGTGGGATGACTCCGAAACGCGCAAATTGCTCTCAGGCCTCCCATTTGGCCCTTCGAATCTTCCAATCTTCGGACGGCTGAGCTCAGACCTCATCTGTCATATGGGCAGATCCAACGTCCCGTGTCGTTGCACTAGCAGGCGAGCGGACAGTTGCTGATCGGTATACAGTAGCACGGGCGGCTGCCATTGGGCAGCATCGCTGGTTCCGCGATGTCTATATCCTCGGGCGTCCCACGGTGGCAGCAAACAGGAACCCACGCATACCGACACACGAGGCGGACGTGACCGCCAGTCTGTTTTTGTTCTGTCTTGGCCGTCGGCGGTGTATTCGGAGTTGGACAACTCTCCGTCCGTGACGCGCGAGTGAGTATCCACTGCCACTCCTCTACCGCGCGCGTCCCTTACGTACGGTCATCTCACAGCGAATTTGCAGGCCCGCTCGCGAAGGCACCATGCTGCTCTGGCCTTCAAGCTCGCGCCATCGCCGCCGCGCTCCACTGACACTGGCAGCACGCACATGTACTGCGCCCCTCGAACGCGTATAAAAGACGCGTCGTATCCTCTCGACTTTCCCCAGCTCAGCCAGCCCTCCAGCACCGCCCAGCTACCACCCGCCGCCTCCCCAGCAGCACTACTCAGCACCTAGTCTACTCAAGATGTTCGCCCGCGCCATCACCTTCTTCTACTTTGTGCTCTCCCTCGCGATCCTTGCCGCCGCCATGCCCGGCGGTGCGCCCCCGCCCAAGACCACCGCCGCGCCCCCTCCGGCGCCCACTGCCCCCGCCGGCGGCTCTAGCTGCAGCACCGGCGCCATCCAGTGCTGCAACAGCGTCCAGAGCGTAAGCACATCCGCGTCTTCGTGGTGTATTGCACCCCCTTAACATTACGCTCTTAGTCCAGCTCGGCGTCCGCGTCCGCCATCCTGGGCCTGCTCGGCATAGTCCTCGGGGACATCACGGGCCTCATTGGCCTTGGCTGCTCGCCGATCAACGTGGTCGGCGTCGGCTCCGGCAACGCCTGCTCGGCGAACGCGGTCTGCTGCACCAACAACAACGTCGTACGTCCTTGCCCATCTCTCTGGCACTTCGGCGTCGATCGCTGACTCTGCTCCTCCTTAGGGCGGCCTGATCTCCATCGGGTGCCTCCCGGTCATCCTGTAGGGCTCATGAGCTACGCACCTAACAAGGAGCTACGCCCAGGTGGGCGGTGCTGGCGAGGAGACGCGCAGTTCGGGCTGCTGCTTCATGTACCACCGCTTGTAGCATCGTTTCGGAACGGAGAATAGAGTGGACGGAGATAATGCCCTGAACATGTGTTCGTGTTCGTGATCGACCGGTGCCACGACGCGGGCTAGAGTCCAGAGTCCAGACCTTCACAGTGCGCGCCGAAATGCAGCTTGCATTTTCCGTTGTATTGTTACGGGCCCGAGACTCATGGACAGGTGGTAGGCGCGCTGAGGGCGGAAATGTACGTGGGACGTTGCAACGCTCGGGCTTATACGATTGACTATGTGTAGCAACCAGACTCTAGCTATTGGACTGCATCCTCCTTCACTATGCGACGCGCTACTTCCTAACCATCTCCGCGATGTCCTTTCTGATTGAACACGTCTTGTGCCATAGACCTATGACACTTCAAAGCTTCAACTTACTCCTGGTGTATGAACGGAGGTGGCTGTCGCACGATACAAGCATACGTGAAACCACGTCAAATGATTGACGGTTAAATAAGGGTGGGTATGAGGTAGCTGGCTAGCAATTGCTGGCTACGGGACTGTCCAAAACGGAATCTCAACCTCGATCTCTACAACATCACCACTGCTAACGTCTAGACACTCGACATCCGCCTGAGAGGGAAATAGGGAAAAGGGAACATAGCCAATATTGACAGGCCGCCGCCCTACGGTCAATTTCCGAGCCCTGGAACGCGCGGCCCACCACGAGCGGCGCGCCTCAGTTAGAGAGCGAGACGGGGACGCAGCCCAGGGAGACGAGCCCGCCCTGCCGCCGTGCGCACGGTATAATCAGTACATGATCATCGGTACGCGAGTGTGCGATACTCACGAGGTTGTTGTTCTTGCAGCACACCGTCTGGGCGTTGCACGAGTTGCCGGTGGCGACGCCCACGACGCTGATGGGCGAGCAGTCGAGCCCGACGAGCGCGTCGACGCTCTGGGCGTTGACCCCAATGAGCGCGAGGAGAACCGAGGTCGCCGGGTCCGTTGCCTGGAGAAAACAGAGCGGGCGCATGAGCTAAACAGCGGCGGTGACGTTCCCCAAGCGCAGTGAGTACGCACCTTCTGGGTGCTTTCGCAGCACTGGAGAGGGCCGGTCGAGCACTTGCCGGCGGCGCGAGTGTCGAGGGGGGTGGCAACTGCAAGGAGGGGCAGGGCGCCAAAGATGAAGGCGGTGAGGCGGGCGGAGATCATAGTGGTGAAAGTGAGTGAGGGTTGAGTAGAGGGACTCGAACGCTGAAAGAGTGTGGATGACCGTTGGCCTGGGGCTCCCCACCGTGCTCGCCCCCTCCTTTATACCCTCGCGCTGGGTGGGTCCCGCGCGGGGTAGCGGTCTACCCTCCAGACAGCTCAACAGGGAAGTCGGCGAAGGCGACGGCGAGTGAAGCCAATACGGTGCGCCGGCGCTGGGCGCGACCGCTCCATGGACTCCCGCCGTGTCATGGATCACTGGGACGCCCGTTGGGGGACGGCGTTCTACTGCCTAGAACGAATCCGAACCATCTTCGTTCTGGCATGCCCGGGCACGGGCACGGTGCGCCGTCGCGTCCATTGGCTGGTTCGCGAAGTGCATGGCGGGGTTGTATCGTCGGAGTGGAGTTAGCGCGATAAATGACTTCCCCAGTGTGTCGGCGACGTCCTGGTTGTATCGATATCAATGGTTCGTGACTGCTTGGTCTGCCAAGTCCTTCCCCGAGAAACTTTGAGCTTGTCAAAGTGTCAGTACTCGAGAATGAAGATTTCCACAAAACGAGGAGCTACGTACACATGTACACCTTAGGAGCGGCACCGGCGAGGACGCGCGCAGTTTGGAGCTAGTGCCTTTCTTGTACCAGTCGTGAGTATTGTCACAGAACGAAGGGCAGAGTGAACGGAGACTTTACGTTGAAGCTGAAATTCTGCTGGTGATCGTCAGGTGTCAAGATGACCAGCGCTTCAAACGATTGATTTGTGACCGTCTGCTAGGACTAGTACTCAGAGTGATCTCTAAATCGACGCGCCCAGAGCAGAAACACCTTGGACGAGGCGTGAACCTTACAATGTGTTCTTGGCCGCTCAGGTAGTCGGAGGCCCTACTCATGTACCGGGGGACATCCCAAGTACGAGGTGTCCGAATGGATGTCGCACAGGATCCGGAACTTCAATACAATGAGGCGCTTCAAGTTCGAAGGATTGTAGATTAAACTAAGAATGAGTACGATAGCGATAGCAGACTACAGGATTGCTCGGAAAGGGCTACGTCCTCGAGCTTTAGGACAATGCTAGACCTCCTGGCAGGTAGGCATTCGACCATCTACCCTAGACGTCCTGACATCTGCTGTAGAGGAAACTGGGAAATCGGCGAGGATACAGCCAATGCTAACGGGCCCTCTCGTAGTACGGCGACGTCTCCGAAACCTTGAACGCGCGGACCCCCACGAACGGCCTGCCTCAGTTGGAGAGCGAAACAGGGACGCAGCCAAGGGCGACCGCCCCTCCCTGCACAACAAGCACGGTCAGCACCCCTCCCGTACCCGCACAGGCCTGCGTCGCTCACGAGGTTGTTGTTCTGGCAGCACACGGTCTGGGCGTTGCAGTGGTTGCCCGTGGCGATGATGAACTCTGAACCTGGAAGGCTGTAAGCCGCACAAAGAGAGGTCTTCAGTCTGTGAGAGAACGACTATGATTGCATAGTACTGTACCTGTAAGCCGCACAAAGAGAGGCTACAAGTACTAGTAAGTAAACATGTAAGGAAGCATAGGTAGTATGGGACTTACTCTTCAGTCTGTGAGAGAACGA